GGAGATCTGATTCTCGCCCTGTGGTGGATTCTACAAAATGCTCATCATAAAATTTTACATACTTTTGTTTCAATAGCTATCAAACTACGCAAGATATGTGCCTTCAAATCTTGAGCGCGACGCAGTCGACGCGCCGCTATCGTTTCTCTGCGTCTCCCCTCCCGGAATGTTTAAAGGCGCATAACTCAAAAACTAAAAAAGCTATCAAACAATTGTTTACTACGAAATTGCTCAGCATAAAGTTTTACATATTTTTGTTGTTTGTAGTTTTTCAATAGCTTTTGAACTAAGCGAGATATGTGTTTTTAAAGTATTTGGGTCATTTTGAGCGCTTTCTAACCGATTCTAACCAAGTTTAGGCTAATTTTCAGCCAATTTTCCAGTAACTTACCCGTAAAAAATGCCACATTTCGATCTGACAACACATTTGAAAATATAGTAGCCAGTAAAACAAAGTTTCCAGCCATAATAGAGCACAAAAAGTGATAATAATTGGATTTTTTGTATTTCCGCAGCAGAATGAACATGAAAATGAGGGCTGGAAGTGTGACGACAGACACACAGATTACTGTATAATACAGTAATACGGAAGTTGATTGCCATTCTTTGAAGAATTGATTCTTTAACAGCTCCTCTTCTGTTTGGTTGGGGTCGTGGGGCATCTGGAAATTCAGAAAAGTCGAACATTCGAAAATTTTCAAAAAAAAATAGGAAAAGTCCTTAAATCTGCAAATTTCAGAAAATCTGAGAAATTGTCTTAAAAAATTCTGAAAACGAGACAAAAATTTTTTTGGGGAAAATCAGAGAAAACAGAATTTTTTACGTCATCTGGCAGGGGAAGAGAAAAACCAATCAGAAAAATTTTCTGATTGAAAATTGACTTCATCGAAACTACAAAACACAGATTTTGAGGTAATTCCGAAAAAAAATTTTTTTTGAAAATTTTGAATTTTAGAATTTTAGAATTTTAAAATTTTAGAATTTTAGAATTTTAGAATTTTAAAATTTTAGAAGTTTAGAATTTTAGAATTTTAGAATTTTAAAATTTTAGAATTTTAGAATTTTAGAATTTTAGAATTTTAGAATTTTAGAATTTTAGAATTTTAGAATTTTCTGGAATTTTTGAATTTCAGAATTTTTGAATTTTCTGGAATTTTAGAATTTTAGAATTTGAAAAACTGTATACATTTTGTTAGAAATTTTAATTTCCTTTTCGAATTTTTAGGATTTTTCTGAAAAAAAAGTTAGGCTCCGCCCACTTTCAGCATTGCTAAGGATTAGCAATTGATTTGTTCTTTCAACATTTTTTTTGGCGTTTTACTGCTAAACCGAAAATAAAATAAGATTATCAGATGAGAGATAAGCTCTAAAATGACGAAAATGATTTTTTTTTCAAAAAAAAATTTCTAGAAAAAAAAAATTTGTAGGAGGATTCTATTTGTAGTATTACTACTCGAACTGGATTAGTAATCTTTGGATTAATGACTAAAAACACGTAGGATTCTTGATATTTTCAGATTATTTTCAGATGATTTTCC